TTCCCTTCCCATGCCTTGTAACCACAGCCCCCAGGGGAAAGCCTTCCGTTCTAAAGTTGAGCTTATTGCCTACTTCGAGAAGGTGGGTGACACTTCACTGGATCCCAACGATTTTGATTTCACGGTAACTGGACGTGGGAGTCCCTCCCGGCGAGAGCAGAAGCCTCCCAAGAAACCCAAAGCCACAAAAACGTCTGGCACGGGCCGGGGCCGGGGTCGGCCAAAAGGCAGCGGTTCGGCCAAGGCCAAAGGAGCTGTTTCGGAAGGCGTCCAGGTGAAGCGGGTGATGGAGAAGAGTCCTGGAAAGCTGTTGGTCAAGATGCCTTTGCAGTCCTCTGCAGCAGGCGGAAAGGCAGAAGGCGCAGGTGGGGCGACCACCTCTGCACAGGTCATGGTTATTAAGCGTCCTGGACGCAAGCGGAAATCCGAGTCTGACCCTCAGGCCGTGCCCAAGAAACGGGGGCGTAAGCCAGGTAGCGTGGCATTAGTGCCGGTGGCCGAGGCCAAAAAGAAAACAATCAAAGAGCCGGTGGTCCAAGCCGTGCAGGAGACAGTGCTGCCCATCAAAAAGCGCAAGACACGCGAAACTGTCACCATTGAGGTGGCCAAGCCGCCCCCGCCTCCTCCAAGCAACACAGGTGAGCGGAGCCCTAAGGGACAGCGAATAGCTGCCAAGAGCCCCGGGCGCCGCAGCAAGGAGAGTAGCCCGAAGGGGCGGAGTGGCAACACTGTGCCAACCTCTGCCTCTTCCTCCTCCCCAGGCAAGAAGGATCAGCATCACCCTCCTCATCAGCCACCTCCGGAACCTCAAGGCAGCCCCCCGGCTCAGCCCCCAGAAAGCCCCAAGGACAGCAAGAGCCTCCTCGCTGAACCCCAGGACTTGAGCAGCAAGAGCTGCAAAGAAGAGAAGGCTCCCGAAAGCGACGGCTGCCCCAAGGAGCCCCCTAAGACTCAGCCCGGCGGCACAGCAGTGCCCTACAAACACGAGCGCAAAGACACTGTGTCGTCCTCCGCAGCCATGCCCCGGCCAACGAGCAGGGACGAGGCTGTGGACACCAGGACGCCTGTCTCAGAGCGAGTCAGCTGACTGTGAGGGGGGAGAGCGAGCAAGTTGAGCGCCAGAGGAAACAAAGAGAGGGACAGGCACTCCCAGCCCCACACACACCCCAGTTGAAACTCCAGGCAACTGCCGGGTAGGACCCCCCTCACCCCACCCCTTTCCTCGCAGTGCCCCTGCTTCCAAGCAGTCCGCTTTCCCCCAAAATGATTCTTCCTTTGTCCCCCATCTTCCTCCCACTTTTTAATACAGACAAGCACAGTGTGGGGTGCAGAGACACGCCTCCCAGGGCTGGAAGCCACTTTGCACTTTTTTACCGAATGGGGGCACCCTCTCCCTGCCGCCCCGCCCCGCCCAGGCCCCTTCTGCCAGGCTTTGCTGCATATACTACTGACAAGGCAAGCTTGTTTGGCAGGGGAGGGGCAGCTTCAGACTCTGGCCTGTGGCCCCCATCCTGCCTGACCCTCCCCATTACAGAGGCCCTGCGGACAGATCAGGGGAGGGACGGGGGGGAGGGGGGCACGTGTGTATTCCACTCCACCTCCCTAGTGCCATGTAATGTAGTCGTCAAGTCTTAATTGGAGTTCTGTAGTTTTCAGTAGGATGTGTGCATGCATGTCTGCGTGAACGAGAGAGATGGGGCCAGGAGTGCCCCTCGGGGGAGCTGATATTTCCCCATCTCCCAGTCAGACCAGCAATTAGGAACGACCTCCCCTCCCCTCCCCCCAAAGACAGTTCTGCTAAGAGACGACTGGGGCAACGGGGAAGGGCCAGCTTTGGAAGAATGTCTTCCCTCCACACGCGTATCTCGAAAGGAGGGGCCTTTGGGTTCGTTAAAGCAATCTCTGAGTGTGCCGGAGCGTGCGTGGGTGTGGGTGCGCGCACACACACGTGCTTGTCGCATGCGAAGAGTTAAAATGAGAAGTTCTTCCAGTTCATGTCGACGATGTTAGCTTAGGGAACTGTTTGCACTAATGGGGGCCTTCGCCCACCTGCCCGGGAGGCTTTGGCGTGAAAGACGTACGGAGTGTGCCTGTGTATATTGTGGTGGGACCGGGGGGTGGGGAGAGAACGGGGCTTTGACTGAATACTGGCTCACCTCCCCACCTTTACCGGTGAGGCGGGAAGGTAGCTGAATGTGTGTAAAACTACCTGTAATTCTGTGCTGGGATCGGTACGTGACGAGGGTGAAGCTTAGTCTCTGTCGTTTCAAAGGACTTCCTGATATTTGGCAAACCGAGCTTCCACGGCCGTTGAGCGCACCTTTTCCCGCTCCCCGAGAAAGCAGGCCTCAGCAGAAGTGTAGCTTATACGGGAGAGGGGGGGGACTTGGTCTCCTATTGGTGGTCGTCGTCTTTCCCCCCTCCGTCTTCAAAGAATTTGCCGAATGCAGTGCAAAGAGGATTGGCCACCCAGAGTGAATCCGTACCCCCTTCCCTGGACAGCAGCAGAAGTGCCCCAATTTCAAGATGGCGTACGTGGGTCCAAGCCAGCAGTGTTGGCGGGGTGGGGGGAGAGAATAATTTAAAAAAACAAACCAGACTGTTTTAAAAAGTAATCAGAGGCAACCTGATTTTTTTTCTTCCTATCTATTTATCATACACTGAAGTAAAAAAAATTTCTGTGTGTATCAACAGAATTCTGCTTTGGTTATTGAGTATAGATAAGGGACAACACGCCGGTCATAACAGAGTCCGTCTTCAGGAGGGCAGGACTGATAAAGGAGGGGCTTGAGTTCATGGCAGAATCTTGCGGGAACACCCTGTTTTCCCCGAGCTTCCGGCACCCCAGTCAAGACCAACTTCCGTTTCCCGTTCCTCCCTAAGTACTAAGTCGCTGTGTGTCGATGCTCTTCTCCGGGGCCCACGTGATCAGACCTGTTGCCAGCTCTGTGCCGGAACCGGGGCCTGCCTCGGATTGGGATTGCAGTGCAGAAGCTCATGCAGTTATGCTTCTCGTCTCATGTTGTCTTTTCAACTTGAAATAGGCGGGGTGCCCCATTTACCCCATTGGGGGCTCTGGGTGCGTGGGATGGGATATGCCCAATTTCCCATGGTGAGATACCATCCCCCGGGGCCATTGCAGGTCAGGCAAACAGATTGGGAGGGGGAGGTGTAAGCCCCTGTGTGCTCCAGTCCTGAACCAAATTGGGCTCACATGCGCCGGGGGTATTAAGTCCCCGACACGGAACTCACAATACCGGTCCAGCTAGGAAACCAGGGAGAACCTGGGGAATAGGTGATGTGTAGCTAGCCTCCCAGCGATTCGCAGTAAGGTCTGGACTGGTTTCTAACTTCCTGTTTACTTGGATGAAAACCAGAATCTCCTGTTTGTCTGCACCGTAGCTCAGGCTGGAGTCTGCTGCTGCTGCGTCTCTCTGGAGGATACCTCCAAGGGAAACTGGTCTGAAATCTTGCCAAGTTTTTCATTTGGCAGAGGTGGACAGTCTGAGGATGGTGCTGTGGAAGCGTGGCATAAAAACGTAAAGAACTGAGAAAAGGGGAGGAAATGAACTTTGGAGTACTTCTAAACAAATCAAAGGGCTTTCCCCTGTTTTTTGGGTTTTTTTAAAGGCACAAACTTGGGTGGAGGGGCAGTTGTTTACCTTTCTTTCATACCATTGGGCAACCTGTTTGCATTTGTCACAGAGAACCAGTGTGGTCAATCACTGGCCTTGGAACGGCTTTTGAGGCTTTTTTTACTCTTGGACACAGTGTGATAGAAAACAAAACTTTTGCTGCCTCTGGGACACATCAGTCTAAATTCTCCCTGCCAGGCATCTTTTAAAGGCATAGGTGCCTTCTCCATGTCAGGAAGTGGTAAATTCTCTCCTCTGTCACCTTCTTCCCCCAGGAGAGCTGCTTCAAATGTAAGTTGATTTGCCTGTTTGACTTAAAAAAACAACAGCTTCCATTTCATTTTCTTTCTCTCTCTCTCTCTCTGCCTATAGGATGATGCACTTTAAAGCCAACAGAGAAATATTTTCTTGTCCCCCCCCCCAACGATTTTAGAAGGAAAATATACTTGCAAAAGAAAAACCCCAAGCCCCTGGGAAAGACCACATGGTTTTGGCAATGGCTTGCACAAAACGTTACAGCAGAGAGATTAAGTTCTGTACTTGTGTAAGTCGCTGGAAAAAGCTAGATGATTCCATATATTTTTGAAAAGAGAGCAACCGAGGGTGGGTTGGCGTTCAGATCCAGGCAGACTGGGAGTCCTAAACATGTCAACAAAATCCCAACTAAAGCAGCAGTAGCCGTCTGTCTCCCCACACCCCTGTCTTGGAAGTCATAACTCCCCACCCACCCACCTTGCATGCCCACTCTCTGTTGCATATCGCAGCTGTTCGGCAACTTGGGTTTTCCATGCCTGGGTCATCTGCTTCACCTCCCCCCCCCCCAACATCTAGTTCATCCCAAATAAAACAGATTGGTACAGTGAAATGGAGGGGTAGCTAGCAGGATCTAAAGTGAATCCTGTCCCTTTCCCCTCCTGTCGTACGGATGATGCCGTGGAAGCGAACCGCTTCGCTCGGGCGAGTTGTCCGAAGGACGTTTGGAAACCTCGGTCTGTGCACACGCAGGGAAACAGAGGAGGGTCACGGATGAGCCCCCAACCCCCCGCTCCCCAGCCCTTTCACCCCAGCTCAGCCTCCTCCGAGATGAATGTGGATAGTGCCTGGCGTCAGAGAGACTCCGCAAGAGGTTTCTACCTTGTTAGCATTGTGAACCACCCGATGTTTCTGTGTCAAGTGAAAATAAAACTTCTCGTCGGTTTCAATTATTATCCAATAATGTGTAGAGTTTAACCTTAGGCCTAACTCTTTTTTTTTTCCGTTTGGGGATTTAATTTCCGTTTGTGTGTGTGTGCGTGTGCGCGTGTTTTTTTAAGGCACCAAGTAGACACAGGAAAAAAAAATGTCTAATTTTATATATCTGTATATTGCATTATAAAATGAAGGGTTGCTTTCCTTTTGTTCTTCCTGCTTGTTGTGCCACTACCAAACCAAGGACAGCAGACCGACAAGCAAGGAATGAAATGGTCTGTCGAGAAGTTATCAAATATTGCTTCTCGGCCGCTTTTTTCCTGGTCTTTCGATATCATAGGACAAGGGGGAATAAAACTGACCCATCAAACCTGCTTGCCAGTAATTTCTTTTCTCTCTCTAACAGCTGAACTGCCTTTTAGCTGTGGCCGTTTTCCTATGTTTTCGGAAGGGGGTTGCCTCTTTGTCTTGTGGAGGGGGAACAGAAGCGAGGTGGTTTGAGTATGTAGCCAACATATTAATTTTTGTGCACTTGGTCAACTTGGAGGGGGGACAAATTAATCATGGAATGGCGAAGCAGGGCAGTGTTGGGGATATGGGGAAAGCTGCATTCAGTCAAGACTCTCCTCTGTTTAAAAACAATCTTCCATTTCCAGTTGGACATCACCCTAACACGTGCCGCTAGCGTGATTTAACTCTGGAATTTATAGCTGCTTCCGAAGAACAGTTTGGCTTAAGCATTATTCGTTTACGAAAATTTCGTTTGGTCCCTAAGCGAACGACATGGCGCTCTCCTCCCAGAGTAGATCTCTTCCTTTTTTCCAGAGCAAATAAATTTTATTTTTACCCTATTCTGGTTCACCTCCATCATTTTCGGAGCTTGTCTGTGTCCAGTGGTTAGTTCCTTTTTAATCGTGTGCCTTGTGTCTTGGCCAGTATAAATTGGCAGCACTCTGCTGTAGCGTGTCTCTTACCAGCCAGAAACTTGTTTGTCCCGTCTCTTCCTCTCCCCCAGTTTCGCACAACCCTAGATCGAATTTTCCCCACCGTTGCTTTCCGGTTTTGATCCCGTGTGCTTATAGGCCACCCTCCTTTCGCCTGCAGGGGCTGCACTGCGGAGAAATCGGACAGGCAATGGATTCTCGAGTGGAGGATGTGTGAGCTTTGTCTCGCATATTAAACCTTCCCCCAAATCAGCCAAAATTCTGTATTTTACAATCTGTTTTTAATTCAGTCAGTACAAGGGCAGTGGTCATTTGCCTTCCCCCCCCCCATGCTTGCATGAGTGTATCTGACGGTTGCGTACTTGCTCAATAATACACTTTTTGTATAAAACAATATAAACTGTCCAGCCGCCGGCTAGCAACTGTAACATCAGGGTCTTGCTAGCACAAACCAGATCCGAGGCCGATGCATTTGATAATGGACGGTAGATCTGAAGGGCTCAGCTTGCTGTTGCTTGACTAGCCGGCCCTCACCCAGTCCTGTACGGGACCAGTCGGCAGAGGGTTGCTTGATGGTGGTTTGTCGCTCTCTGGAAGTCACCGAAATCAGCAATACCTGCTCGGAAGGTAGCAAGTTCAAATTTGCCGTTCTTCCAAAAGCAAAGGGGTAACGACCGAGCATAAATTGCACTGGGGGGGTGGAGTTTGACTGTATTTTCCTAATGGAGGTAGGGGTGGGACAATTTTCCACTCTGTTGACCCGCTTTTGCTGCTGGTGTGGAGTTCCTTTTCCAACGTGACTCAGATGGGCAGTGCTTGTTGGGGTTGTGTGTGTCCCGCTCGCAGGGGTCAGTGGATGAGTTGGAAAACGTCCTTTTCGTTTTTCCTTGAGTGCAAAAAACCCCCCGCCACCAACAAAAACCCAACACCCACCCTAGCAACTTCCCTCCCTCGTCCCTTATCGTAATGGGGGGAGGATGGGTCCATGCCCCCTCCTCCCCTGGCTTCTATCAGATGACACGCCGCTAACAACCAATCAACATCCTTCTGCTTCACGACTCCGTAGTGATCACCGTATGACCAAATATTACCAAGGACTGTTATTCAATGTATGCTGAGTGCTTGCTGCCCTGTACAGCTCTTAATCCTCCGTAGCCGACTCTAGCCAGTGGCAGTCCTCCCTTTTCTCCTTCTGACTTCTTAAAATGTTTTTAAGGTGTTTTTTCTTTTCTTTTCTTAATTCCGGAGAGACAGATTTTGAGGGGAAGGTTTTGTGTTTTTGTTTTTACTTTTTCCCTTTCTGCTAGTCTTCTCTCTGAAAAACTGTGGTGTTTGAGACTTTCATTGTGTGTAGGGTTTATC